GCAGGGAGCCCGATGCGGGACTCGATCCCGGGACTCCAGGATCATGACCTGAGCCGAAGGCAGTCGCTTAACCAACTGAGCCACCCAGGCGCCCCAAGAGTTGCCTATCCTTAAGGGAACTCAGTCAAATAAAGCAAAAGGACCTGAGGCTCCTACCATCATACAGACATGATGCCACAGAAGAGGTAAGGACAAGTTACTGAGGAAACACAGAAAAGAATGCTAATTTTGTCTGAGAAATTAGGGAAGGCTTCACAGGGGATGTATCCAACACAGACCCAGAAAGAGCATTAGAATTTTACCATCAGAGTATAGGGGAAAGGGGGCAGAAGCACAGAAAAAAGCATGAGCCAAATTACAAAGGGATGAAACTGCAAGGTGTATTCAGAAACTGAGAGAAAGTCAGTATGGAAGGTAAATCTTACATAGAGTGCAGAGTGGGAGAACAGGAGATTAGGGAGAAGCAGCACAATCTGACTCCACCACTTACTGGGACACATGAGACCACCAGTTAACATCTCTGAGCTACAGTGACCAGATGCCTTGTTGTTGGTTTTTAAGCTGCCTGGCACCTGAACCTGTTTGTGAAATCCTCTCCTTATAAACCTTAATGGGACTCAGAGCCCAAGTACCATTATAGAAGTTGAAAAAGCAGACGCTCTTTCCCACACACCCTTGCAGCTAGGGCATGAACATATAAAATAGGCTCTATCAATTAGGAACACCTGCTCAGACTTTACATCAGAAGCTAGTGTCAAAAGGAAAGTGGCTAATGGAAGATTCTAGATGTAGCAACAGCTGCAAGAGGATTACTTGGGGTCACAGAGCCAGCAATGTCCCAAGGTACAAACTATAACATCAAGTACTTGGTCATGGCTGGCAACGACCTCCTCACTAGACCAGTTTTGTGGCACAACTTTAATCACCGTTCCTGGCTAAGCAGCACCCCCCCCAAATGATTCTCCAGTCCACCTGGAGTTTCTTTGAACACCACAATATCCTTCTAATCCCTAAAACACTTAAAATAAATTCCTTCTTTTCTATTTACATCAGCTAGAGTTGGCTCCTGTAGCTTACACCTAAGGACTCTGACTAATGCAGAGCCTCAGGGTCCTCATCTGTGAAATGGGGATAATCATATCTGCTTCATTAAGTTAAGGATTAAATGAAGATCCTTGGCTTACTTTGTACTCAGCAATACAGAATCTCATTTAATGTATGTGTATATGTGTACAGATGCAAGGGAGACACACATACACACCCAGCAATACCATGGTCTAGCTTTTAGAAAGCAAAAATAAAGCAAAGTGGTTTTCTCAGAGAAGCCTCAATATAGCACCACACATAATTAGCTCTTTACCATCTCAACTCCAGGAAGAGAGAAACTATGTCCAGCTTACCTACCACTTTAACAGTGTAACACCAGAGCCTGGCAGAATGCCTATACCTAGTAGGTACATAATAAATATTTGCTGAATGAACAAATGAATAAACCACTGTACCTGCTTTTTTAAATCATTAAACTCTCCCTGATCCCTTTTCATATGTAATAATAGCTAGTTATAGACCTTTCAACTTTTCACTGCCATTGTCAGGTACCCCACCTTCTAATACCTAAGAGAAAAAAGGTCTAGAATTTCCTTCTTGGAATGTGTCCAATGCTTCGTGTAGGTAAGTTAACAAAAAAAAAAGAAAAAGAAAAAAATCCATTATGAAAGTTTAAATATTTGGTTCAAAATTACCATCTGAAGTACCCCCACCCTCCCCAAAAGCAGACAGACACTAGCCTCCAACAGTCTTTCAGGTAACAATCTTTCCACTCTTTAAGGGAAAAATTCCAGTCACAAGTCTCCAGCAACTACTTAATCAACACCATGACTTAAGAGGGGTCTCAAGATTACACAGTATCCTCCAAAGAGTGATTTCTTGATGTTCACAGATGACGTACCGTTTTTAGGGTGAAGAAAGACACCCTAGGGGCAAATCACTGATGGAGGGCTGCAAAGGCTGTTCACATACTCACATCCGACATCTCATTTGTAATCCAGGCTAGACGACTCTCCAAAACAAATTGTCTTAAAAATGAGAGACTAGAAGAAATTGGTATCTGTGATTCAGAACTAGGTGAATGCAAAGGAAGCTGATTAGAAAGCAAGTTCTCATTAATGGAGATGTATCTGAGTGACAGGAGATGTACCTTGAGCTAAGAAAGTGAAGCATCTGATTTTAAGTCAGAAGTTCACTAAAGTCACACTTTAGTTGAACACAGTTCAAAAATCAGAAATCAGACAAAGCCATTTACATTTTTGTATTCTATTTTTGGAAATAAAAGATTACCACTGAAAACGGAGTCATATACAGGGCATCCCGAATGCTGATGCAATTTTTTTTTTTGAAACTTCACCAAAGATGACTAGATTGTGAACCCTATTTCTATACAGCACTTGACGAACTTTCCATAGAATTTGAAAGAAAAAACTGTTAATGCATGAGGTTGAAACCCATTACCTAAAAAGACAAAACGCATTTGTATCTTCTGGTGACAGTCCTGAGACCTTCTTTCCTGCTGAATTACTATGAAAATTTCCCTGTGAGTTTCTACAGAAAGGGTGCGCATCCGTTCTGTCCTAGCCCTCAAAGAGATACTTGGGGCCAGAGTTGTTAGATACTCTGAACCAAGATTCTGCCCCACTGGGGCCACTCTGATGAAGGTGTGCCCAGCACGTGGAACGCAGTCACCAAAAGAAATAACAAGAAAATGCAAACTAGTGCGGAGACCAGCAGTGACACAGGCCCTGCAAGGGATGCGTTCTGGTTTTCCAGGAGCAAACGGCCCTGCGAGGAAGCCCCACCCGACACCAAATGGGTCCCAGCCGGGGACAACCGAGGTCCGCGCCCAAAAGGACCCGTCAGGCGACCCGGACGCGCGCCTCCCTAAGAAAAAATTAAAAAATGACCTCTCCAGAGCCCTCACCACCCGCAATCATGCCACGGTCCCTGCACTCCCACCCGGTACCCCGCACGCGGGGTCGTCCCTCACCGCTCGACCCCAGGTCGCAGTCCTCGCCGTTCACGGGCGCCATGGTCCTGAAGTATCCCGATTCCGCGCCAACCAGCCCGAAACTGGCGCGGCGGCCGAGACAGGCGCCAGGCTGAAAACCAATCAGAGGCTCCGGAGGCTGCGGACTTCCGCCCGGAAGGCCACTGACGTGCCGCGCCGCGCCGCGCCGCGCCCCGCCCCGCCCCCGGCCTTCCCGCGGACGCGAGTTTGGCGCCCTGTTATGACCCCTTAGGGAAAAAGCTCGAGTGACTGGGAGGCCGAGGAGAGCGGGAAAAAGAAGCGGCCGGGCGCTGGAAAGGAGCCGCCAGGAAGCTCACTGCGCAGGCGCACCCATGCTGATGGGAAAAGATTTGGGCCCGTTAGAGTAGTGGCTTTCTGGTTCTGAGAGTTGATTTTCCTAGAAAAAAGACGCGGGCGGGCAGTAGGATGGGCGTGGTTGGACCGGTTTCCCCAGAGCCTTGGGAAAGCGACTGCCTCCTGCTGCGCACTCTGAGTCTTGCCTGATAACTTTGCTTCTTAGCGTGTAAACACAGTAGCTGTGTGATTTATAGATATAAATGTGTGTATGTATACATATGTATGTATATATATAAAGCACTATCTTACCCTGTTGACCAAAAGAAGCATCACCAATAAGGGGCAATCATATGCCTCCTTATGTGATGCACTTGGAAAAGGGAACAACATCACCTATATAATCTTCTTGCAAAAAATTAACCTGAATCTAACCATGAAGAAACAATCAGATATATTAAAAGCATAGGACGGTCTATAAAACATCTGGCCCGGACTCTTGCAAAATGTCACTGTTACGAAAGAAAAAAAAGGGCATTATATGCTCGTATTCTGTACAATGCATATATGTATCTCATTTTATATTTTTCCAAATAGGTATAACATTTTTATACATGTGCCTGCCCCACATTTGTGATATTTTTTCCTACATTTTTGCCAACATACTTGTTGCTCTCTTCCTCATGTGACAATTTTATAATATAATTTTCTCTAAAGAGAATATAAAGATAATTCAATCTGTCCTCCAGCATGGCTGATCAATGTTTGTTTCTTAACTTCTGATTTTTTTTGAAATTTTTCTTTCAGTTTTATACCATTACTTAATAATCATGTTAGGATATGATCCATATGTTATGATACATAGCATTTAGTAATTCACACTTAGATCCACTATTATTTAAAGCACTAATACAGATTTATGCCTATACTTTCCCTTTAAAGAAATTGTTGCAACTTTGATATTATAAAGTTTATTCCTAACAGGAGAGAACTGTTTTGGCTAGGCATTAATAAGAACCAAATCTTTCCTTTACAGCATCACATGTCTGATCATTTTCCACATGCCACCTTAGAACTCTAAGCATTTCACATCTTGTTTCTCTTTCATGACCCACATACTTCCAGGAGCCAAGACCTGTAGGACACTTTTCATATTATGATATCACTTCTGGCCCTGCACATTCAGGTAAAAACTCCAAGTCAGCACAGTGGGGTAGGAATATTCCTGGAAGCTATTCCTACACCAGGAGGTCTATCAGTATCTTAAATATAATGAGAGTGCTTTCAACTGACATAGATGCCACCAAATCTAAATGCAATGCAACACCAACTCAACTTTCCCATAGGAGAATCCCACGATGACTGTGCCCACTCCACCACCACTACCAGGCAGGAAGGGAAGTCTATCGAAGGAACAGGTGGTGATTCTCAAGAGCTGATTGTTACATATTCAGGAATTTCATAATCTGCTTGTTAAGTTTTTGGTAGCTTGAAATCAGCCATAGAGGGAGTATTTACACCATGGCAATGGGCAAATGCTACAAATAAAAAAAACAGCCCCCCCTTTTTTTGAGAGAGAGACAGTTTACCAGCAAACCACCAAGTAGCCATAACAGATTGTAGTTAAAAATCTTACTTTTGTGAATTTTCACAAAAACACGAGACCATTGCTAGAGCATCTTCCAGGGCCTCAGAAGTGGCCCATAAGCAAGCAAGAGGCCTCGAAGATGGTTTCATTAACTTCATTGTAAATCTACCTCTGTTATCTAGTCATGCAAAAAAAAAAAATTACAATTTGTCTTAAACTTGCTCTCTCCTGCCCAACACAGGATGAGTTTTGCACTGGTTTTACAAACTGAAAAGTTTTTTAAATTTATCATTATTACTAAAAACAAATTAAGACTAAAGTGAGATACTATTTCCCCTCATTTCTATCTTTTTATCTATATCTCTCTATATAAACTCTATCCATTGCTGGTAAACTGCTGTTGAGGAACTGCTTATTTTTTGCTAGTGGCAGTGTAAATAGGTACAACCTTCTGGAAAATAATATTGCAAGATGTGGCAAGTACCATAGCATGCTTTTATCTTTCAAACCATGATTTCTGTGGGTAAAAGTTAACAGAAAATAACCCACAAGAAACAGAATAAATGTAAAGATGTCAATGGCTACTATTTTCCATCCTCAAAAAGTTAGGACCTAAATGTCTACATCAGAGAAGAGGTTTAGGGGTGCCTGGGTGGCTCGGTCAGTTAAGTGGCTGCCTTTGGCTCCGGTCATGATCCCTGAGTCCTGGGATCAAGCCCCGCATCATCGCATCATTGGGCTCCTTGCTCAGGGGGAGCCTTCTTCTCCCTCTGCGCCCCCCCCTCATGCGCTCTCCCCCTCTCTCTCAAATAAATAAATAAGATCTTTAAAAAAAAAGAGAGAGAGAAAAGAAGTTTAATAATGTGACATGACATCAAAAAGGTAAAATAATTGGGAAAACTCAAAACATGGGAAATGTGTATGATATTTTATAAAGTGAAAAGAGCAGAAGGAAAAGTGATATGCACACTTAATTACAACTGTATATCAAATAGCAATGCTATGTAAAATGGAGTATAGCTTCTCCAGATGATAGCATTATAGATTCTTTTTGCTTACAATTTGTTCTCTTTAATATTATGCCAGGAGGCATTACAACATCAGGTAGAGTCAGATTTTGGGTTTGATTCTTAGACTACTACTTTTAAGTGACCATCAGCTGGTTACTGAAACCTCAGTTTCTTCCTCTATAAAACAAAGGTGCTTATACTTACCTAAGGAGCAATTGTGAAATTTCATTGAAATAATACATGTACAGTGCCATTAAGATGCCAACACCTAAAAGGCATTCAACAAATAGCTATTATTCTTATTGTATTTTTACAGTAAGCTTTACCATTACTCTGATCTTACTAATAACTCTACGAGGTAGGTATGTCAAGAAATTGCTATTTGCCTACTGCTACATTCATTCTCCCCCTTATTCTTGTAATGAAGTGTGGACTTTTGGCTGGGCGCATTGACAGAGGAAAGTCCTGTATTTCCCAGCCTCCTTTGCACCAAGGTTTAGCTAAATGACTAATTTCTGGCACACAAGACTTAAGCAGTACCATTGTGGGGAGAGTTACAGGAAGGCTGCTTAATGAAATTGGATACATCCGGAAGGGAACTCTCTTTTTTTGCCCTTTTGCCTTTTCTCTCTTCCTTCCTGCAGCACAGATGTGATGGTGGAAGCTCCAACAGCCATCTTGGATTATGAGATAACTCTGAAGATGACAGCCACACATGGAGATGATGGAACAGAATAAGAGCCTTGGTCTAACATCTGTGAAGCCACCATACCAGCCCAAGCTATTTGTCTACTCTCCAAGCAAACTTTCTTTCATAAACTAGACTCTTTTTTTTTTTTTTCTAGAGGGGAAGACAACCAGCCAACCAAAATCTATTCTGACAGGGGTAGTGCCAGGTATATTTCTCATCGCAATCAATAAATTAAGACTCAGGCCAATAGCAGTGTGAGTTTGCTAGCATGAACCTGGTTATCTTTGGGTGTATTAACAAAATCAGCTTTGTGGCCATGCGGAGTTTTTGAACACAACTAGGTAATGTGGTTTATGTGCAGCTGTGGAGAGATGATTGTCTGCCAGCTGAAAATAGGCAAGGAAAGGAGTGGCGCTGTGTGTGCTCTTGACGTCCCACAAGGATTCCGGGCGGTATGAGTAGATATGCAACTCCCCTGGTCATCTAGCTGGTGGTGCCCAAGCTCAAATCATTTTCCCAGGCACCTAAGTTGCAAAGACCCTCTCTTGACTTACTTGCTTATTAAAAGGCATAGGGGGACACCTGGGTGGCTCAGTCAGTTGAGCGTCTGACTCTTGGTTTAGGCTCGGGTTGTGGGATCTCGGGGGCCGTCCTGGAGTCAGCCCCCCTGTCAGGCTCTGAACTCAGCGGGAAGTCGGCTTGGGATGCTTTCTCTCCCTCTCCCTGCCCCTCCCCCTGCTTGTAGTCTCTCTGTCAAATAAATAAATAAAATCTTAAAAAAAAGAAGCTGAAAATGCTTTTGTCCCAGTAACTCTGCCAGCTACCACATGAACAGTTTTATGCTTGGCCATTTCCACAAAGGATTTTGGATTTGGAACTAGTGTCACAAAAAACAGGGACATTCTTTGTGTCAGTGGTAGCAGCTTCCCACTTCCTGCTGGGCAGCAATGGCGGAGGTGTGATTTCTACCAGTGACTTCAACTTCAGGGACCCGCTATGTGCCTACCTCCTTCAGCTTGCTCCTCCAGGCTTCCTAGTGATTCTGTGGATCTCTGAGATCTTCTCACAACCTCCTCTCTTTCCCTCCTCCATCCCCCACTCCCCTTTCTTCTCCACCTCCTTTTTTCTCAAATCAGCCAAAGCCTGTTTCTGTTGCTTATAACTAGTATCTCCAGCTGACACAGCATTCTATTTCTTTGCTCTATTCTCATTCCAAAGTCACCAAGCAATCTCCTAGTTATTATTTCAGATACTTAAATACTGGGACAGAAGAATGCTAAACAGAAGATGAGAGCATTCCAGTGTTTGGAAAATGATGATCCCCACTATCAGTTAATGGGTATTTATTTTAGTTAGAATGTGTCCCTTGTGAGTTTAAGTAAACTAGGTCTGTCCCTAAGAAACTATCTCTGAGTGTTCTAAGAAGATCGAGTCAGTACTTACAACACTAAGAACAAAAACCCTTTCAGGTGGAACAATTATAAGGTGGTTTTCTAGATCAATTAAATTGGGGG